ATCAGTGATGTGTTCTCAACTGAGGATCATTCAGGCTACTAAATTTGACATATTGCTAAAAGTCCAAGTTTCTTATTTCTTTTAAACATTTAAATATAGTTATTTTATATTATACGAAAGATCCTTAAGTCTGGAAGGATCAACTATGATTTTCTATTTTTTTCTCTGCTGCTTCTCACTCACTATAGATGTAACTTGGGACTATGAGCTCACATTAAGCATATTTTAACCTGTGGGAAGTCAGGAACCAGATTTGAGAATGGCTTCCTCTGTACAGGTTCAATGTTTGTTCCTGTCAGGCATCCTCAGGGGCTACAAACAGAGACCACTTTAATTCATCAACTTGGGGTTTCCCACATAACAAAAATTGAAATCACAACTTGTGTGAGAAGAGAGCTTAGTTACAAATTAGGGACGATTGGCTTTTTCATCTATCCAGGACAAAGTCAAGAGAGATACCATACTAATTTGAAGACAGAGAGTTTTTTTCCTAGTCTACCTTTTCATGGATGTGTAGCACCTTGACAACGCTGGCTTAATGCAGCTCTTACCTCTCACCTGGGATGAGCTCAAGGACTTCTTTCCTGTCCGCCCTAAAGACTCACATTAGTAACTAAGCCCTTGCAGGCCCCTTAAAATCAGTTTTGGGGAGCTTAAAGGGCCTCTGTTGCGCCACACTCAGATATATATTTCTTTTACAGACATAGATATTGTTCGGTTTTTTTTCATTCTATTAATTTGGTAATATTACTCTAAGTGCTGTATACGTTTTAAAGAGATGATATAAAATACCCTATGGTCTTTAGGAAAAACAAAGTCAATGTGATAAGTGCAAAAAATAGTAAAAACATACTTCAGTTCTATATTATGACCTATTAGTGACATATTCAACTTCACTCATATTGCGTTGTGACAGAGACAGAAAGTAAGAAGACAGATGTGAAAGAAGAAGAAAATAGCATAAGTAAGAGAAATAGGAGATACGAGAGAACGACACAACAGAAAAAAAAAGTTCGGGGAGGGAGTGGCAGAAACAAACAGACAAGTCTATCTGAGGAAAATCAGACCCAGAGGAAAACAAAGAATTGTAGTAGGAGTGTGCCCTTGCCTTCCATGGAATAAAGAAAGACTATTCACATCTCACGGCTTTTTAATGGTGCTGCTAACTAATTTTTTTCAATCACATTGCCATTCTTCTAGCAAAAGCTTAAAAATGGGAAAGTAAACCTGTACACCCAGTTTAACCTGCAGGCACGGTTTTTCCTATATTCAGTTCTCCTATTACAACTGAAAAATCATTAAACAGCCTCATATCATTAGTTTTTTATCCCCCGTATGTTTCAAAATTTGAGCCAATTCTCAATCTAGAGGTTACAGGAATTAAAATGTGTCCTACGTAAATCTCAACTCTCATCACATTGGGATACTTTGGCATACTGTATCTGTTTTACAATTTACTGCTAAGGGGCACACTTAAACCAACCTCTACTCATACGTGGCATTTTCTTTTTATTTATTTTTTTATTTTAATTTTTTTTGAGGAAGGTTAGCCCTGAGCTAACATCTGCTGCCAATCCTCCTCTTTTTGCTGAGGAAGACTGGCCTTGAGCTAACATCGTGCCCATCTTCCTCTACTTTATACGTGGGATGCCTGCCACAGCATGGCTTGACAAGCAGTGTGTAGGTCCGCACCTGGGATCCAAACTGGTGAACCCTGGGCCACTGAAGTGGAACGTGCAAAATAAACCACTGTGCCACCGGGCTGGCCTCTATGGCATTTTTGATAGAATCAAAATTTGGGAAGTTGATTACTTATAAATCTTGCTACCTACAAGCATTCCTCCTCCAAAAAATAACCTTCCTCTTATTTTTTAAAGATAATATTAAAAGAAGTTTCACATTCTTTTACTTCTACATGTGTATTTTTTCAATGTGTAAAAAAGTTAATTACTTAAAATTTGGAGTTTGTGGATAAATATACAGCAATACTAAATGTTTTATTTCCAGTAAAACTGAATTAAAAATCTAAGTTCTTTTTCCTGAAGAGCAGACAAGGGTACATAGTTTTTATTTTGTAATCTTAAAATCACCAATAGCTAAACATGGCTTTTAATAACATATGATTATCTTTTCTCTGAAAATAAGTCATCAGTACCCACAGGTCATTCAAGCATCGTAACACATCATTTAAAATTATTTATTTCAGGGTCCAGCCCTAGTGGCCTACTGGTTAAGTTCAGTGCACTCTGCTTCAGCAGTCCAGGTTCAGTTCCTGGGTACGGACCTACACTACTCTGTTAGCAGCCAGGCTGTGCTGGCAGCCCAAATACTAAAAAATAGAGGAAGACTGGCATGGATGTGAGCTCAGGGCAAATCTTCCTCAGCACAAAAAAACGAAAAAAAGTTTTATTTCAGGAAGAAATATAAATAATGCATTTCCTAACCATAGTATAGTAGCTAAAAAAATGTATTAGATGAGAGTGTATTCATTTGCCATACAACTTCAAGATGTGATCATAAACTTTCTCATGAGTAGCCTAAGTCATATATGCTTCCTTCTTCCAAATTCCAAAAATTACCGAACATAACACACTGAAAGATAACCTGGAAATAAACTTTTGTCCAAAACTTGAGCTTTCAGTTCTTCATAAAAAAATATTTTTCTGATTAGTCATAAACGTTAGAAGGGCAACTTGACGTGTATGATAAATAACTCCAAAAGAATACATATTTTTCTCAATTACTATAATAATGAAGTTACCAGAATTCAAATGAGCTGTCTGAATTTTAAATTTAGAGCATCCAACTACTGATTCAAACTTCTAGCTTTGCCTCCTAATAATGAAAGTACCTATCTCTTCTTGTCTCCGGAGCTAGAGAGTAAAATATTTAACAGATTTATTAAAAAATTTCTTAAAGGCCCATAATGATCTGAAAGTTCAGATTGGAAATGCAGGACAAGATGCCGAGTGATATTTGCTGCTGCCTTTTTCTGATAATCCTCTGCAGCTGTTCTAAGCATCGTTGCTAAGTTTCACTGCAGAAACAGAAATGACAGCCTAGGAGTGCTTGAGTTCACAGGTCTACCAGGGCCACCTCTCCTTTCCCTCCTATCACCACGCGAGACTTGAAGCTCCGACTGCCGAGTCCTGCAACAGTCGTACATCCAGGGACAGAGACCAAGGTTCACTGCGAGTCTCTTGATAAGGTTCTCTTCTGTCTGATTCTGAACTCTATACAATTAAGGGCCCACTTCTCCTACCAGAAGGAGAGTCAGAAAGAGACTTCTTATTCTTAGTCTCTTGCACAAAAAATGAGTCGACAATCTTCTGATCTTATTCTAAACTGGTAAAAAGAAAACTGATAAAAAGAAAATGAAGTTAAAAATTCCTAGTGCTGGGCAGAATAACAGGCTGATTTCAATTCTGTTATATAGGCATATGAAATGAGGGCATTCTGGAAAAAAACGTAATTTCCCACGTAATGTCTTCACTTTCCATTTCAACCACATTATTGCATTCCACCCCCAACTTCTCTTCCACCTAGCCTGGGGAGATACAAGGATCATTTCTTTGGGAAGGAGAAATATACAATTCTCATAGCAGCTAAAAAATGAAGAAAACCACACCCAGCCTCAGTCTTCTACTATCACAAATGAGGTCCTCATCATGACATAGGTTTCTTGTCCGTTTTTTATTTTGGAAACTTTTCATTTCACAAACTTGTCCAACCCCAAGAATCACCAGTGAGGCTGGCTGAAAATTCAGATTCCCTTGCTCCTTCCAAACGTAATCAGAATTTTCAGGGGGAAGGACCCAGGACTCTGTTCTTTTAGTAAGCATCCAGGTAATTTTTACAATGAGATGTTTGTTCTTCAAACTTAGGACTATGCTCATCTTAAAAAATAATTCCATTCCTAATTTTTCCTTTATGAATTCCTTAGGAAATAGCATATGGATTAAAACTATTGTGAACTGCATATACTAAGATAAAATCCAGTCCACTTTGCAGGCTAGTCTTTTATAGAGTGGCTAAAAATATATGAAAGTAGACTAGCAGTTCCTAATTGTTAAATCATTATCCTGAGGGTTGGTGTGTCTAAGCCACTATCTTAAGCAAATAAGGTTCCTCTAAATTTCAATTATTTGAAGCATTGTCATGCTTTCTATCTAGAGACTTTGCAAAGGGATGATCTTGTCTAGTATGTGCTAATCAAAGACCTGTACAGACTGAAATAGCTATATCTAAAATTCAAAAGATAAGGCAAAATCAGGAAGAACTTCTTGATAAAAGCATAAAAAGAAAACAAAGTGGATTTGGATATGTATATTTCTTTTACCATGCTATATCTTTGTGTGTAGTACTATGGAACATGGCACAAAGAAGGCAGTCAATACATGATTGATGAACGGATGAATGAGAGTAAATGAATGAATGGGTATGTGTCAGTGACACAAATAAAAATGGTATCATATAATTCAGTAGCATCTTTAGGAGATAGAAAAGTATTTTAAAAAATTTCTACAAATTACCTGGTAGAAAACCGTTATCAGCCTTTAACCTGAATAAATGACACTGAAATTTATTTTCAAAACAGGAAAGGCAAATCCTGAGAGGCCCACAAAAGCACAAAAGTAAAGAGAAGGAAACAAAGCTTCAGAAGTAATACAATCTGAGACAAGCAGCCCATGAAGACTAGCATACAAGGTCACATGAACGCTCCTCCCCAGTGCGGGCTCAGCACTAAAAAACCACGTACGGACAACATACTTAAGTGTCAAAATTCACAAGAGCAACGACTGAATAAGAAAGGAGAGGAGAATTAAGGTAGAGGTGGGGCAAAAGTCCAGTGGAAACAGAATGAAGAAGAGTGGAGGGAATAGCGTGCAACGTCTCATGCAGGGACCTTGGTGAGGACAAGTGGCGCCAGGCAACACTCGGTGAGGACAGAGGACCGGTGAAAGTAAGACACACCTCAATCACAGAAACAAACCGCTTACCCTCCGCTTTAGTGGCAGTACCATCTTTAAGCAAATTAAAAAACAAGGGAAGGGATAATAGGGAACAGTTAGTAACATTAAGAAAATTAAAAAGCAGAATGTTATTAGCTACTTAAAAAGCAAAAGTACAATTTAAAATAAAATTAAAAGGAAACCATTTCAACAGCAAAGCAGAGTCTGAAGCAAGTAGGTGCGCCTTATGTTGAAATCAGCTTGGTACGATGTGCTTTTGCCTTTGGAAAACAAAAGAAAAAAGGGCAACCCAGGGTAGTGCCTCAGTCGGTCGAGTGATTGCTATTGCTTATTTTAGCCAACTCTCATCCTCTTCAGAGCTCCTTTTTCTTAGAACAAAGTACTAGCAGAATGGTAAGGAAAAACTGAAAACTAAAATCCTAAAGGGTCACCCAAAGGGCAGAGGCAAGTAAGAAGCTCAGAGAGGCTGGCTCCAGCAACGCCTATCCCAACTACACGTTGAGCAGCAAAGCTGTACAGCATGGTACCTGCGTCAAGGCCTACGGACTCCGTATCTTCCCTCAGGTGTCTGGACTCTAGAAGTTTGGAAAAGGATCATCAGCTTTAATGCTACACTTCTGCACAGATGTAATGTGTCAATCTAAATAGTAATTCTAACAACTTCTCAGTAGGATTACATTCTATTTTAGGGGGTTTTCTGCTTTTTGTTGTTTTGGACATAAGGAAAGTAGAGGTACAGTTTCAGGAAATAGTAAGAGAATGGGAATATTCCAGTCTTGTTATTTGAAAAGGGAACACTTGGCTGAAAACGTATCATCGGTGCTTCTAAAAGGTCAGTTCTGTATCATTAGACCAAATGACCCGAGTGCTTTTACCAGCACTGAGGGAAGTCTACATGGTCTATTGTATAATATCCCAAATGTGCACAGAAAAACAAAGACTACTGAGTACTCCAAAGCTGGTTTTTACTTGTTTCCAAGCAATGAAACAAATACTAATTACAAATACTCAAGGTGGATTAAATGTATTGAAACACAGGTAAGTACTAAAAAAATGGAAGTAAAATAACAGAACTACTTCACCATAGGACAGCGGAGTTCTGATGTCTCCTTTACTCAATGATTACACATCAACATAGCAGCATAAACACTCACATGTAATGTTACAATAATTAACATTAGAAAGGTAGAAAAGGAGAGCTCTTATTGGATTTCTTCCCAATCAAAATGCATCTATGTATGAGGTATTTTACCGCAGAGAAAACAAGACTGATATAACAAACGTTCCAGAACCTTTCAAATTAATAACGTTCCTATCACCATCACAGTTTCTTTCACTATATAGGATAATAGCTTACAAAGGACTTTTAATTCCACTTATCCCTATCATATATCTGAGTTAGGTGGCTATTATTACAACTAATTGATGGCTGGAGAAAACAGACTCAAAGATTCCGTGGCCTGCTCAAAGTTACCCAGCTAATAAATGGCAGGCCCAGTAATCTTCTCTTGGTATTCTCTCACTGGGCTTCCATGCTCAAAACATTGTTAGAACATTAGTTTTAGAACTGACTTTGGAATTAGTTTGTAAACCACACAATCAATTCAGTCTCAATGTTTCATGAAGTTTAAATTGTATTAATTTCTATAAAACCCAAAGTAAAACCAATCCAGCTAAGTCATCAGATTTATGCTTGAAACGACTTTGCTCTTAACAAAAATAAAATGAAATAAACCATTAGCCCTACAGAGTGTAGGTGTTAAGTGTCTGCTGAAAAACTGACTTACCACTCTGTCAGATACTAGTTCTTTGGAAAATAACTTTTTTTCATCTTTTGGGCTCTCATTAGGATAAGCGCATGCTCCTCCCAAGATGACACAGGGAAGGACTACACTGTTGTACAACATGCTTATGCTGGTGATCAAGGCCACCACATTCCTCCAGAGGTCCTGCTTGTTGTCGTCCCTCTCCCTCCCTGCCCTCCCCGCTTCCCCACGCCGGGTACACTCTCAAATTGGGAAATATCTAACTACAATGACTATCTTTGGTGAATCCCTCACTAAACCCTTCTGGCTCTGCTCCCATCGATGTCAGGAGGGGAGAAAACCCAGCTTTGGTAATATGGGAGGTGGCTTAGGTGCTGGCTGGGCTGCCATGAAGAGGGAAATGAAGCTGAAGGAAGGCCGTGCTCAGTGCCACATGCTGTGAGAGCACCAGTGTACTTACTTGTCACTAAAAAGGATGATGCTCCAGAGAAAGGGAACACTCAAGAAACAGTGGCTGTTAACCAGCAATCAGTGCAGAGTTACTTATACTTAACTATCAGCCCTACAACAGTGAGAATTTCCTCTAAAATGGTTTTTGGTAATTTGCTACATAAATAAGTTTGAGCAGAGGCATCTGGAACAGCAGAACAGGGGGAACGGTGGGAGGTCTGGTTACCTAAGGATGCGTATGACCCTGGAGGCAAGGCTGCGGCAGAGCTGAAAGGTGCAGCGCCTGAAGCCGCGGATACTTTGGATTTGGCACTGGCAGCTGCGTTCACGTCAATATCACTTCGAGACCGCTGGAGGGATCCAGTCGTTGACACAGATTTGGTACTAACTGTAGAAGCTTTAGTGGCGAAGAGGAAACGACAGTAAGGACCTGACTTTACACATTCTAAACACATATTGTTAAAACTTGATTTGCTTTTCTTGAAAACAAATACCAACTTTTAACAAACACTGGAGCACATAAGTGCTGACCAACAGTTGCTCCTGGTCACTGAAGACAGAGTTCAGCCAATGCTGAAGGAAACTAAAAGTGACCACAACTATACTACACCTATCACATTTATTTTCTTGTAATCAAAGACTACAAACTCCAAGGAATGGACCATATTTCTGGTTAATATGAGAAATGAAATAATAAAACTGTTCACATCTGGCCAGTTTCCTCATGATGTGGCCTAACTGTGCACTCTCACCTAGGCGCCCTCCCGCTCTCAGGAAACATTCCACTCTCCCACCTCCAACAGCCACCGCACTGCGGCTGCTGCTCAAAGCCATCTCCATCACAAGCTGTCTCCACTCTCTTGCTAAGTGACCAGAGCGAAGGAGTGGCACTACTTGTGGTAGTATTCACATGCTGGAGTGAGGACAGGTCACAGAGCTCAATTTCTCCTGCCGAAGTCATCCCGACAATGTCTTCCTCACAGTGATGGGCCCCTGGGAAAGTGGAGCTCTGCTGGGGACAGTGGGAGCGCAGAGCAGCACACTCTGCAAACCTGAGAGGGACCTGAGAGCAGGCCCTTGGCTTCCAGCAACTGAGCAGCCTCTAGGGGTAGAACAGCCCACCTGAGGTTAAGAAACAGAGGCCTCCCCTGGACAGCCTTCTCCACGGCTGCCAGTCTTACCTCTAGAGGCGGTACTTCCAGTAGGACTTCTTTTGGCAGAGAGCGGCCGACTGAAAACAAAGGTATACATGTGTCTATTATCAAATTTGCACTTTATCTGCATTAAAGCAAGTACACGTCACAACAGGAAGTTATGATAAGAATTATTTCAGAGTTTTCAGAATTTTTCAGGTGATTTAGACCACATCTTATAAACCCCTAATTTCAAACAGCTATCCACATGTTTGTATCTTCCAAACATACAGGGAACTCATAACTCGAGACAGAAATTAGAAATATAGATTGAAGATCATTATACATTAAGTCCTAAGTTTTGAATACCCTCTCTTTCCAAACTTGTGTCCAGGTTAACACTTACATCGTCTAAGAAAAATTCACGTGTGTTACTCGTAAACTATATTCTAGGACGACTATATAAATTTATCTAACTATTACTTATGATAAGACCAAAGCAACTTGTTTCTTACCATTCCCCACAGTATCTCACTTAGTGCCAGAATCCATCTTAAGATGGGGGAACTATAACAGGCACACATCCGCAAAAATTACAGCTAGAATTTGTGTTCTTGTGCAGGAAATCTTTAAATACAAAATCTCAAAATAAGGAAAAGCACAGCTGAATTCCTTACTTCAGACTCTCTTGAGAGCTAGAAGACGAGCGATCGGATTGTGGCAGAGACACGATGCTGTCCGAGTTCTTCAAATGGGACTGCAGCGCTTTCTGGTAGGAGGACTCCAAGGTGTGGTACAGGTGCTCAGCTTCTCTGCTGAAGTGACTGTGGAAACCCCAGTAACACCTAGGGGACACATACAAAACGGTTTCCTGTTATGGTCAGTGGATCATAACAGATATTTCACTGAGCTCCGGAGGACACCACACCACCTCTTCAAGGACTGGAATCTGCAGTCTACCTGCTACTAGCAGCAGCATGCTATAAGGAAGAGAGTGTGAACAAAGGAGGCCTGGGAGGAATCCTGACCTCACAATTCACTAGCTGTTTGACATGAGGCAAGTTGTTAAACTTCTCTGAAGCTCAGTCTCAGTTATAAAATGGAAATGAAAGGACCTAACCTGCAAGATTTGGGAGGCTTGGAGAAGATGCAGCTAAAACATCTAGAACTATACCTAGAACACAGGAGAGGCTCATTATTGGTAGCTTTTACGAAGGGAATTTGACACTCATTGACTGGAAGTATCTGAAATTGCCTTAGATAAAATGTTCAAAAGAGAATGGAAAGAGCTACTTGAAATCTGTGTTGCATTCTAACTTAAAAAACTGGAAAAAATTGGGCAGGGGGAGAATACAACACAAGGATAAAAACAGCATATAATCATTAACAAATCCATTCCCAAGAGTTTTTAGCAACTATTAACTATGTTGCTTATTTTGGCAGGAAATACCCAAGATGAGACTAGAGTAAACACTTCAATGTTATAGTGAGGTCCTCCAGAAAACTCAGAAACCATGGAAATATAATTTAATGGAGATCAGTCAAAAAGCAATAAGGACTTCAGCAGATGTATTAATGCAGCTAAGGAAAACAATCTTCCAGGCTAGTAAGAACAGATTTTAACCTCTGTCAATTAGAAGAGTTGGTCAACTAAAAAAATAAAAAGAAACAATCACAGGTGCAAAACTAGCTGCACTTATCTATGCACTGCCCACAAGAGAGTAAGTCATAGCATCAAATGTCTGGTATTTACGGTCACAGTGGCAAAATTATCCCAAGGGAGGTAGTGCATGTAGGGGGCCATAGCCACATCACTGGAGCACAGCCAGTCCTAAGGGCAAAACTGCCTCAAACGTGAGATGGCAATAGCCAGCTACCACTGTGACACTCCCAAGCATCGGCTCAATCCACCTCCCTCACCATGACTCACACTTCCCAAGCAGTCACTGATACCTGCACAGGGGTGACCACAGGAAAGAATCCCCACGATCGTGATCTTTCAGCGTAAATCAAAAAGTCGCTTTAGATTACGACTTGGCTTTAACAGAGCTTAATGAGGAAGAGAATACACTGAGCATGTATACTAGTGCTTTTCTGATGAAATGTAATACTTTTTCATAAATTTAAAAATGAGCATTCTGTTGTGTACCTCAGTCCTGTTTATATTCAAATAATATCAATCAGTCTTTCAGGCCTGGGCACTGAACAACTGGCTAAACAAAAAACCACAGAAGTACTTCCAAATGGCCTTTCGAAGTCATGTTTATTTAAGTCATGATTAATGAAACATGTTCATGTAACTTAATGAGTTTTTAACAAGGCAATGTAGACAATGCATCTGAAATATAAAAGTAGTGAATAAAAAAAGGGGTGTACAGGGGCATAGTGATTAAGTTCGCGGGTTCCACTTCAGTGGCCCAGGGTTCACAGGTTCAGATCCCAGGTGCAGACCTATGCACCGCTCATCAAACCATGCTGTGGTGGTGTCCCACATACAAAACAGAGGAAGAAGGGAACAGATGTTAGCTCAGGGACAATCTTCCTCAAAGTAAAATAAAGTGATGTACAATAAACACTTACTTTCTGGCTTCTATCCTTGCTTCAGAGTCAGCATCATGTATTCCCTTCTTTATTGTTTCAGCTAATACTGATATGTGTCTAGATATTTAGAGAAGAAACAGTAACAATCATTAATATATGGTTTTATGTGGATGAAAACAAGTAGGAGAAATAACTTCAAAATGGCAACGTAGAACTTAGGGCCTTTGCACCAAGTGAGTCAACTAACATGCCATTTGGAAAATCAGAACACCCTGCAGATCTTCTAACCCCTAATTCTGTGCCAATACCCTACCTCCAGCCCTACCCCACCCCCACCGAAGTACCCAAAGACCCTACTGTCTTGTGTGATATTTTTTAATACAAGCCGATTGTTTTTCAGGCCAAACTTATTTAGCCCAATCTTTTATGAATCCAAACAAAAAAACCCTATTTTTCCATGGTCAGAGCTAGTTTCTATGGAAATTATAATGAGATAATAATAATCTTAATACGAAAGAAACTAACTATATCACATTTCTGTAATTAAACAGAGTATTTTTTCAAGTTCCACTATGTAACATGAACAATTTTATAAAATGATGTAACCATTTTATAAATAGGTATTCTCTTTCGTCATGTTCTACCCTTGCTGAGAAGAAATCAACAAACTGTCTCATCAAATATTTAACAAAGTTTTAAGAAAAGGGAAATGATCAGAATGAATAGTTTGACAGAACAAAATCAGTTACCAACTCTACCAGCCCATTCCAGGTCTGTGCCTCCTTACCTTCAGGCGTACAATAAACATTTAGTGAGCAGCCAGCTAAGCGGCTGAGGCTGAGCCGGGAGGTGATGAATGCATGAGACTACATCTGAGTTCTCCATGCTTTTCTGTTCTACTCACCTGTCCCCCTATTAAATCCGTCCTCCCACCTTCCACTTCTAATTCTAAAACTAACAGACTAAAGAACAAAAAAGTATTGGAAGAAAATGTGTGACTATCTTCTAGATTCACAAATCCTCAGAGGAAATTTGGCCTCTGGGAGGCTTGGCTTTGCTTCATCTCTGACCACTGCTGTATGGAACAGGACTCCCAGGAGTCCTCAATTTATTAAAATTCCACTACTAATAAAACATTTAATAGCTGTAAAGTTCTTCACAAACTATACGACATACCATTAAAAAACGAGTGGCACAACGTCATCTATTGTCTCCAAATTTAACTCAGAAAGAATAGCAGGCACCTACAATTGATAGGAACTAAAAATGGCAAAGAGTGAATCTCAAAATTAATAGAGACGTGCTTCTTCAAGAATTCTACCATAACTCTACTTTTCATCCTGATGTGAAACTTAAACCAACCTGAATAAAGAGAAAATTGCTGACTTTCTGATACAAAGGGATCAAAAAGAAAACTTTGAAACGAGTGAAATTTCTTTAAGGACTTGAGAGTTACACCTTACCTACTGAGAGCAGCTTTAAACACTGACCTTGTTGGAACTGACGGGAATGTCACGCAGCAGGATCAGTCACTAGAGTGAATCCTGGCTCTGTAGTTCCCATGGTGCACATCTGTGCACATCTCTGGGCGCACTAACATTTAACTCAATGAAACTCACTACAAGCTGCTGCCAATATTATGTGCTCCACATCAGCAGAAATAACACAAGTAGTCATGCCCAAATGTTTAGATTTCTTCATTTTTTTATAGCAAGTGGGTTGGACCACTTACTGAGGCATTAAATCTCAAGATGGAATTCAGAGGAAAAAAACAGCAAATCAGATGCTCACCGTTCCAGTGAATGTGTTTGCCATTCTTGTAAAAGTAAATCTAAAAATTCAAAACAGCGCCTGAAAATGACGAAGAAAAAAATATGTAACTTAGTAATTTGTATGTTAGTAAAAATAAGAGCTTTTTTCTTGAGTGACCCAACATTACTATTTCGACTTGGTATATTTCTTCTAATTTTAATGATTCACAAAATGGAACATAAATATGGAATCAAAATTGATCGAAAACCAAAGCAAATGAAAATAATTAAGCATCTACAGTAGTCAAAAAGAAAAATCATAGGGATAAGGGACAGGATACAAGATTTCCCTTCAAATCAGAAATGTGAGCTTCACGGTAACATTACTGAGAGGGTGCGTCACTGTCATTTGTTTTTAAACTCCCTCAAATAACACATTAGTACAGAATGCACACATGCACAAAAGATGAGCGTAATTACAGAATCAGGCAACTGGTCTTTGCATTAATTTCACAGACTGTCTTGCACAAAAAAAGTAAAAAACACCCTGAAAAACAGTGCTCGCCAAGTGTTCCTGCTAAGAAGGTCCTAGGTAGTGCTTCAAATAGATTTTCAGTAGCTACTTAGCTATTTTCCTCTTTTTAATCTTTCAACATCCTTTCTTTTCAAGCCTTTTCACTTTTGTGATCTTTTGTGGCCTGATCTGTGCACAAAAACAATTCCGGTCTCATTTTCTTTGGATTACATCACCACTTTGGGTCCTACCTCTTTATAATTGCCTTTTTCTGAAGTCCAGGATATCTATCTTTGTAGAAGTAAATCTTAACAGTTTTAGGAATCCATTCAAGGAAACAAATCAGAAGGTAATCTCTCTAATGACCAGACTTACTCTCCCATGATCCTCCCAATTCAAAACCTCATAATCTGTACAATTACTCACTCAATAAATCATTAATAAACTCTTACACTGTGCTAGATAGTAGAGATACACTGGTAACCAAGACACAATCCAGCAAGACAGAAAGACAGACAAGAGATAATTACCGTGTGCCAGGACCACACAGGAGAGATATTGAACTCAGTCCTAGGGCTGGTAACAGTGCAGGCACAGGGGCATGCAAAGCAAACCCTCTCTAAGGAAAGACACTGACCTACGCCCACAGCCTTCCTCACTGTCGCTTTCCCCACTCTGCCACAACCTAGGCCGTGTTTATTCTACTTCTACCCTTTTCCCCAGGTCATTTCCTGGTCTAGATTTTTCTTGTCTCTTTTCTTCACCTATTCATCATTCAAAAAGCAGTTCAATTTTCAACTTGTCTATGAAGCTTCTTGGGTATATATCAGCTGGTTTTAATCACTATCCTCTATGAACTCTTAAATCCACAAAACATGTTGTAATTCACTCTTACATTGCTTTGAATTCATGTTTTTAATCTCCCCAACTAAATTATAAACTTCTCAGAGGCAGGGAGATTGTGCACCCATCTCTTGCCAATTCTACGAAGCAAAGCTAGGTACAGGTTGAACACATGACAAAAGTGCACTGCCTTGGTTATGGTGAACTCTTCGGCTTTGTTCACCTTCCTGAAAGCAAGAGGCTCTGGGCCAGATGGTCCCTACTACTTCTTTCAGTGTTAAGACACATGGTTCTGACTGACATTCACTCTAACTAAATATAAGAAGAGCAATCTGAGTGTGTGGTTCAGAAATCGGTGAAGGGGTGGCATCTCTACTGTCACAGTGATTGCAGGTTGCTACTCATATCTAGTGCCAGAGGCCAGAATCATTAAATACTATGGACTGAACAGTGTTCCCTCAAAATTCCTATGTTGAAGCCCTAATCCCCAATATGATGGTATTTGGAGATGGGGCCTTTGGAGGTCATGAGGTTCACATGAAGTCGTGAGAGTCAGGCTTTCATGATAGGATTAGTGCCCTTCTAAGAAGAAACACAAGAGAGTGCACTCTCTCTACCATGTGAAGACAGCAAGAAGGTAACCATCCACAAGCCACCCTCACTGGAACCCAACCATGCTAGCACCCTGATCTGGGACTTCCAGCCTCCAGAACTGTGAGAAAATAAATTTCCGTTGTTTAAGCCACCCAGTGTACAGTATGTTGTTATGGCAGCCTGAGCTGACTAAAACACTAAACCTCCTGTAGTGTTCCACAATGATCTGTGTCACTTCATTGAAGGAACTCTGCCTTACACAAAGGAAAAACACATTCTGAATTTCTCTTGAGAATCTACAAAAATAGAGATGATAAAAACCAGCAGGAGCAACAAATTCTAATAATGGTTACAATTTATTAAGCTTTCACTAAGTGTCAAACCCTGTTTCCCAAAATGACCGTGAATCCACAGAACAACTCTGCACAGGGGTACTCTCCTTCCTAACATGTCAAACAACTAGTAAGAGGGAGGAGGCAACGCTTCGACGGAAGTCTGTCAGGTTCGGAAGTTCACTATCATCCCTTTACCTTGCCGACATTACACTCTCATCTCTAGGGGGCGCTGAAGCTGATCCTCTCTATCCCAAGAAGCTGAACTGTGGGTCAAGGGCACAGTGCATTCCTCAGAGATATACAATTGAGCCATGCAGTTAGAAGTTAAGCTTTTTCAGTGGAAGGAGCAAATTTCTTTTTTCCTGGCTTTACATAGTTGAATTATTCCCCTTTTCCCCCTTATGCCTTCCATAGAGCTGTTACTAAGATGGATGTGGGGTCACCTCATGCTCAGGAGGGTCTCCGACCCGTGGAACATGGCAGGACCAACATGACACCCTGGGAAAGGAGGGAAGCAACACGCGACTGAGGCAAACTGGGCTCTAAGCCCTAGAGTGAAGGGCCCTTTCACTGGACAAGGATGAAGATGCAGAACTACAAGAATGCAGCCAAGAGCCCGCTGCCCAGGCCTGCCATTAATTTACCCTATAAAGCTCCTGATACAGTCCATCGAGAGGCTTCAGTGATGGCCACGAATCCCCTCAAAACTCTACACAAAACTTTTCTGTGTATTTGCATTTTCCTAGGAAGATATAATAGACTCTCAAAAGACTCTGTGACTCAACAGTCCAGAATCACAGATCCCAGCTAGAAGAGCCCTCATCCCTCACATGTGGCCTAGGGCAGCTCACCAGGACACGAGACAAGACAGGGACTTGGGAACAAAGCCCTAGCTAGCCACGCAGGTTGTATTTTCTGAGCATATCTCCCACAGCTGTGTAGCAGAAGCAAATGACTGGTCAGGATTCAGAATTTCAGAAATCAATATCAGAAGATGCAAACAACATAGACCTCCTCCTAGCTATGTTAATATTAAATAACTGACATTAATTGTTAGAATGTTTTTTTCTTGCTTGTAGTTACTGCCTTCATTCAGAGAATGAGGTACACCAATGACAGAGGCAGAGGGACTATCTCAAGAAAAGATGCATAGTGGGTCCTCTCCCTTTCTCCCTCCAAATAGCCCAACTGACTCACTCACACACACACACACACACACACACTCTCACGCACACACACATACACATGCACAAATGCAAAAATAACAGTTGTCCCAATTTACTTTCCAGCCTATTTGGAGATCATGATCCTTCAATCCAAAGGCATTCATTATAGCAATCTTACATAATATTATTTCAAACATGAACTTTTTTCTAGGGAGGGAAATCTGGAATTTGTTTTGGTTTTTAAACAATTCCAAAGTAATGAGGAAACTGTTTCAAAATTTACCTTCTAACTGCAACAGACTTGGAGGTACAGTTGCTTGTTATGACAGGTATCAGCCTAGGGATGTGTGTGTGCTGTGAAGAACAACAGAAGACAGAAGTGAACACTTGAAAACACAAAAATAAAACAAAAGACAACTACTTCCTCCCTAACTACCTATTAGCATTTACATATTCAGAATTAAGTTTACAAAGGAAGAAGAATTTCATTGGATATTGCCAAAGGCCCTGACAAAACTGTATTACAAAGCCAAAACGGACAACACAATGATACATACTTAAGTCCAAAATCAAAACAAATCATTGGCATGAAGTCTAAACAATCTGAGCAGTCGAGATCTGAGTGAGGTCAAAAGGGGTCAGCGGACCAATACATTTTGATATTGCTTCAACGAAAATGTCCAATGATGGCTTTGGATGTAATGTTTGAAGTAGGCAGTGTAAACAGTAAGAACAAGAAATAATACAAAGTGAGTAACCCACAATAACCAGGAGTGCTCTGGATAGATTTCAGTTAACGCCATCCAGCCCCAGTCTCAAGGGTTGGTTTTCGGAAAAAGGGATCTGAAGGCGGGGAGGAGGTGACGTGGAGAACTTTCATTTTAAGCCTTTGTGAACTACTAGGTTTTACTGAAACTTGTATGTAAATTACTTGGGTAATTATTTAAATTTAAATAAGTATTTAGAAAACTTAACTGAAGAGAATATTTTGTTTCTGTGCTTATATGCAAATAATTAAATTAAAATTTTAGGGGAATAACAAAACCACAATACAAAGACCTAAAATGGATTAAGGAGGGAAGAATGCGAGTGATACCTGCAGACACAAAGAAAAGAGTCTCAACAGAAGCAGATGCAGATGTTCAAATATTTAAAACTCATGATGAGTCAGTCAATGATCAACACCTCAGTAACTATACACCATGTCCATAATTCACATTATGGAATGTAAAGGGCTCTATGCTATAATTAAGTGGGGAATAAAAGGCCAATGTTGTATTACAACATGATTCCAACTATACGTAATCACTCTAATGAAAAATGTCTCTAATATCACTTATCAACCACCAATATTTACCACTTGCTTACTCTATGTATGGTCTCAAAACATACTTACCCGAATGATTAACCTAACAGCTACAACACCAGAAGTAGCCATAATTTTGGCACTGTTTGGAATTAAATTAAAGATAGTTGGCATAATGGCTTCAGCTCCATGGTCAAATTTATTCCCCAGAACTGATGACAGATGCCTACAATAAGAAATGAATACTGGACTGTAGTTATATTTCTTGCAAACAGTGAAGCATATAAACCACAACATTTTAGAGCCTTAATTTAAAGCTATCTAGGGATAAAGGACAAAGGTCTAAATAAGATAATTTAAAAATATTTCCAATGTGCATTTGGAGGACTTGGCAAATAGCTACTAGCACAACAGTTTGCTCCTTCTTTTTTAAATAAATCATTTCCAACTAAGCAGTCTCAAAATAGCAAAAAACAAATTGATCATATACTAATAAAACATAAGTATGAAAAACCTTTCTCAACCTTTTTTTTCTTTTGCCCTTTTATTTTTAACATATAATATTCATGCTTCAATATCGGACTGTAGCCAAAACTTTAAACAGCTACAATGCTTTCTTAGCGCTGCTGCTGCTTTGATATTCTGACATACTTTTTAACACAGAAGTTCTAGCTTCAAACACTGATACAGGTTTAGCTAGGATAAAACTGTACTCCAGTACATATCTTTAATTTTAACTTTATAGCTACAGTACTCTTCTAGAAACAAACCAACAAAAATTCTCATAATCACGTTATATCCTGTAAGCAAAATCAATGAAAAAAGTGAGAAACAGAATTTATACAATTTCATTTTCCATATTATTAATCATAATTGCTTCAAGTTTAAAATAGAGGCTTCAGAGCTAAGTCACTGAATAAAATTTAAAATCTGCCACACTTTACATAATTGGGCAGGAAATACTGTAAAAGTGCTAAGAGAAAGGTAACTGGAGTAGGTCTTGGGGACTAGTCAGAAGCTGCATTAGAGACCCATCGGACACATTCAATGAACCATCTCTGAAGCACTGTGGCAAGGCTATTTGAGGATGTGTGAGAATCCGGAGCGTTGCAATCCTTACCCCAATGTGATACAAGCCTCCCGCACTACCTGAGACCGCAGATCCTTAGCAGATAGTTTAAAGGCTCCATCCAAAAGACGCAAGTGTTGAAAGAAGTTATCATACTCAGCAGCACCAGCCAAAAGTAAAGATCTAATCTTTTTTAGCTAATGGGAAAGAAAAAATTAAGAGAGAAAGAAAACAATTCTTAAAACAGAATACATGAAACAACAGAAGCCATCAAATATGACAGATCAACATCAAAGTTAAACGATACAGAACCAGTTTTCCAAAAAGAATTCAGCCAATTAAATATTAGCTAATACACTGAACAAACCAATTCTTTTTCTTTTTTTTGAGGAAGATTAGCCATGAGCTAACATCTGTGCCCATCTTCCTCTACTTTATATGTGGGACGCCTACCACACCACGGCTTGCCAAGTGGTACATAGGTCGGCACCCGGGAACGAGGGAACCCTGGGCCGCCGAAGCAGAATGTGCGAACGTCACAGCTGCGCCACCAGGCCAGCTCATGAACAAATCAATTTTTTAAATATACTATCTGTGATAAACATATTACAATTCTACAAAATGTATATTTTTTTTTAAAGATTTTATTTTTTTTTCCTTTTTCTCCCCAAAGCCCCCTGGTACATAGTTGTGTATTCTTCGTTGTGGGTTCTTCTAGTTGTGGCATGTGGGACGCTGCCTCAGCGTGGTCTGACGAGCAGTGCCATGTCCGCGCCCAGGATTCGAACCAACGAAACACTGGGCCGCCTGCAGCGGAGCGCGCGAACTTAACCACTCGGCCACGGGGCCAGCCCCCTACAAAATGTATTTTTAATTGGAAATATTTTAGTGTATTTACAGATTCTATGCTAATGATTAAAAAACGAAAACCTTCATTTTAGCTTGTAAAAAGCTTCTCCCCTAAGCTTTCCTTCTCCCACACTCCACTCTGCCATTTATTTAACAAGTCAAAGGAAAGAGCAATCTACAGTCTCTTTATAGAATCCCCCACCGTAGCATCACTAAAAGGCTGGTCTGAATTTGGAACAGAATACAACAGCAATTTTACCACCTCTCTTCTTGCCAGCCAACCACTGTGAAACAGCTTTCCTGAGAGAAGACACACCCTCAATTTAATGTTTAGCCCACTTATTTTCATTAATCCTCTTCTAAAAATAGAAGGACAGAATTTTCTAGCAAGTTATATGAAAAAAGGAACAGAGGGACACACACTGAACATGCCACTAAGAAGCCGCTTTACTGGCAACCATCAGAGGATCCAGTCTTTACTACAGTGAGAGTGCAGGCCCTCAACAGACAACCCAGTCAGGCTTTGTCAAAAGTACGGGATATATAGAAGGGTGCAAGTTGGATGTTTTAAAAATAGAAATAGAAGTGAGGTTACTCTAGTAAAAAGTGAAAGCGTAAATATGACTATTTATATTTAAAATGTCTACTACTTAAAATTCATTAGCGTTATACCCCAATTTCATAATAAAGTAATTAGAGTATTTAAATAAATCTAATGAAAATGTAATCACATGAAGTCAACAGCTTACAGCATTTACTCTTTGCTCCCAATCATGCTTGTCATCAGATAATATTTCCCTAATCTTGTTTATGGATTCCTCAAGGTCTCGGCTGGAATAAATCTGTAAGCAAAATTAATTTACAATCAATATAAACAAAGATTACTTCTTAATTATATGAAGTCAAAAGCATTTAGTAAATGTAGTAAAAGAAACCATTTCATTTTTCAGAAGGACCTATGAGATCCTTCTAGATCCTTCTAGACACATCTAGACAGACTTGTCTTAGAATGAGCTTTTTCCCCACTGTGAATATATATATAACCACTAGATTTGATGTCCGTGAATGGATAACCTTGCCTCAAACATAGCTTTACTATAAACTTAACAGATGATTTCATGTACAAAAGAGAAAGAAGCCTACTTGGAAGCAGTCAGTGAGCAGAAGTCATGTATTACTCTTGGTATTATTTACACCACCATCCTATACCTGTAACTTTAAACACTTTCAAATCTACTTTCTCATTTATCTTCATATTTTACTTGTAACACAGGTATGGGAACAACCAATCAAGAATGAGGCATGCTGAGAAGGTCAAAGACTTTAGGATGAACTTGAGCCTAATAAGATGCTTGTTATCTGATTTATACACATATGGCAATCAAGCAGCACGTAACAAGTGACCCATACAGACATTAAGTGCTACAGGAATCCCAAGCACAGACAGGACTGTAGGATGAGGAAAAGTATTATTAAACCCCACTCAATAATGGACAACACTGAGGCACAAAGCACCTAAACTATGTGACTGTACCCCAACTCTTATAAATAATCTCTGCTTCATCTGTTAGCTACTTAAGTGAAGCATCAAGCACGTACAAACTAAGATTTTATTAAACCATTCTTTAAATTTTTTCAGACACCAAAATCCTTCAAATTTACAAATTTTTCTAAGAAAATTCTCTAAATAAGCATGAATCTTTGTTCTCTTATCTAATCTAATCACTCATTTTATTTTCTCTTTTATGTCGCCTGCCCTACAAACTTCTTACTAGAGTAGGCAGCTTCTCTCCAGTTCTCACTGGAAGCTCATCTTGGGACTTGGCTTTTGCTCTTCACTTCAGCTACAAGAGGCTTCAACATTTCCTAGTCTGCAACCTCAGATCTCCTGTAATCTTAATAGTTAAAATTACCTTATCTAGTAAGGGAGAGTTCCTATATCACATATACGAAAAATGAAATTTGAAGGGGAAGCTTACCCTTGTTTTTAACCAAACTCCAATATCTTCACTCACCTGCACTACAGGGACGTCATCAAATGCTTTAATAAAGTCCTCTTCATCAACAGCACCAGCTCCTTCTTTTGCAGCTATGAAAAAGGTTAATTTTTAAAATGGAACAACGTACATTGGATGAGGCTGAATATACACAATCACAACTACATTTTGAAAGATTTGTAACTATATTTTTAAAGACAATAAAAATTTAGTGTTGTGGAATTGAAAAACATTACTGATGTTAATATCAAGATGAAGTATAGCAATTCTACAATATTATATACATTAGCTTAAAGTCAGTTAAAGAGACTACTGTTTTAAGGAGAGACAGCCTAGTCTTTAAAGAATTTAGAAGATGTATGCTCTATTAATGTACAAATCTTTTGAAAGATCCCTAATAAACAGATATAATAGAAAATTTAATTCTTCAGGGAATAAATTAGATTATGTTATTGTTAGGACTCTAGCATAACAAATTTGTGAAATATTCAAGTAAGTTCCAAAGAATTTAACAGTTTCATTTAAACTTTATATTAGTCTCAAAGCATTTCCATTTCCTTGAAGTTATGATAACTTTGAATTTTTCATTTATGGATCAGTAGCAAGTTTCCCCCATAAAGTTGTCGTAAGATGCTTTATATACTTAAAAGTTAATAGCTGTCATTTGGGAGAAACCTTTTTCTTTTTGCTAATATAAACTTCACACATGCCTATCGTGACATTTTATCAGATTTTTTTCATAATAAAGGTTTCACAATTGGTGCCTACAGTCATCTGTGTAACCCTTGTTAATGATTTACATTGATTAGTCTAAGTGCTTTTATAGAGCTTCTCAGCAGACAAGCTATCTGGTGTTTGAGGTCATGATGGTCTGGCTAGATAAAACAGGGCTTTAAAAACCATTTTGGTAGCAGTAAATGTGTGTTCTCACTCGATGATTACTCACGCTGCATTCACAGCTAACTATAAAGAGCAGCAACACACTGTGATGTGGAGCTCAGTGTCTGCTTTAGTCTAAAGACTGCATCTCCCTGAACAGATGGGTCCTGAGCACATCCTCTGAGTGAGGCGCTGTGCCACGCATCCACATACTGAAGAGGATTGGAAGACCAACCACAGTCCCTGAGCCCAAGGAATGTGACAAGAAGGAGTCAACAAGGAAGTCATGACTGCGGTGTTAAAACGCAAAACGGATGAGAGTGGGGCTGACAGGAAAGACAAGGCTGATATCTCTGCATAATCTACAGAGCTGGGATTTTTGGAAGGGGTATGGGTGAGGAATGGGAAGGAAAAGGAGTGGTCTGATCATACAGAAGTTTTCTAAGCCTTGTTCATGGAAGGGATGCCACCCAAGAATATATCAAGAAAAAGGATCAGAAAGATTGTTTAGCCATAAAAAGGAATGAAATTCTGGTATGTGCTATAAAGTAGATAAACCTCAAAAATATTATGCTAAGTGAAAGAAGCCAGACACAAAAGATCACATATTGTATGACTCCATTTCTATGAAATATCTAGAATAGGTAAATTAATGGAGAAAAAATGGAGACTGTTGGGGCCGGCCCCGTGGCCAAATGGTTGGGTTAGCGCGCTCCACTGCAGCGGCCCGGGGTTTCGCTGGTTCAGATCCCGGGCGCGGACATGGCACCGCTCATCAGGCCACGTTGAGGAGGTGTCCCACATGCCACAACTAGAAGTACCCACAACTAAGATATACAACTATGTACTGGGGGGATTTGGGGAGAAAAAGCAGGGGGGAAAAATGGAGATTGTTGACTGTGAGGGGCTGGGGGAAAGAAGAAATGGGGAGCAACTGTTTAAAGAGTACAGGGTTTCTTTGGGAGGGATGAAACTGTTTCAGAAGTGGACATAGGTGGTGGTTGCACAACACTGTTAACACACTAAATGCCACTGGATTGTTACACCTTTAAAACAGTTAAGTTTATGTTATGTGAATTTAAGCTCAATAAGAAAAAAAAATTTTTTTTTAATACACCAGAAAGAAAAAAAAAGATCAGAAAGATCTAAGAATGACAACAACAAATGTAAGAAACAAGCACAGCTTCTCTTCTGCCACCCCAGATGTGAACGTCATTCTGACTGTCAGTACAGCTCCTTTAACACTGACAGGGATGCTGGTGGTAGAGGTGTTGCAGCAGCACCAAGCTGATCAAGTCAAAACATCAACATTCTTGGGCCAGTTCAGAAGGAACGGAAGACCAGCAGGAAGAGACAGCATTCTAATGCTAATCCTTATCCAGTTTTCATTTAGCCCATCCAGCCAAGCTCAAAAGCCCAACGCTAACAGTGAGCATGGTTCTGAAAGCAGTGGCTACTCAATTTTTAGAGGTAAAAAGTAGGAAATTTGCACGTAAATTCAAAATCTGACAGCAAAATGGAAGTTGTATATGACAAGGACTCAAACTATTTAAATTAGGGGTGGAGGAGGAAGGACATAGGGAAGAAATCTTTGTAAACCAATTTTCAAAGATTCAGAGAGCTAATTCCTACCATTTCCTTAAATTCAGCATCCATACTTGTCTCAGAAGGAACGATGCTATTTGTAGGAACAAAATACATTTTAAATACCTAACAGGAAGTACAATCTGACTTGCGGATAGTCTCATTCTTGATAAACAGAAACTGGCTAAAAAGGCCCCAAGCTTGTTTCAGGCATTGCTGGAGCCCAATAACCACATAATGCCATCAGGGTGCACTCTTGCTCTTCCTCTCTTTGCTGTGTGTGCTTTCCTCTGTGATGGCTGCATTCTCCTACAGGCTCTATCTTACCAAAATGTGGCAACACAGCAGCTCAAACTTACATCCTACCAGCTTATCAGCACTGACAGGACAGCACTAATTTAATTAAAGAACAGCAAGCAGAGGCATATTGCAAATGGGATTACTCCACTTCTAAAGGACACAGAAGGCAAGTACCATGCACGTCTGGTTTTAAATGGTGGCATAGCTGACTCCACACCACCACATGGAGCGTGGTCTCACCTGAGGACTTGGATCCAAGAGTGGATGATCCAAGCCGGCGGGTGGTCCCCATTCCAACGTTTCTCCGTGAGCTTGGTTGAGCTTTGGATGATGTAGAACTGGCAGAGGACGGTCTATTACCGTCCACAGAATCTTCATCATCAAAATTTTTATCTGAAAAGTAAGCACAGATATCATTGTTTTAAAAGAAAAAGGACCTCTTCACTTAAATTTGAAACAACTAGCCTTAGAGATAAATAGTTTTGCCTACTCTTGGAATCTGAAGTCCCAGTCCAGGGTCTAGGAAGGCCTTCGTTAAGTCCAGAATGAAGCTACAAACATCACGTTTGCTTTCACATGATCTAGAATGCTCTCCCATTCCAATTTTAGAAAATAGAGAAAACATAACGATAGAAACAACCTCTCATAAAACCACCATCTAGAAACAGGTACTCTAACATTTTGGCATATTTCTGACCATACTTTCATGCATTTTTTAATAACAGCTGACATGAGACTATATATCCTTTTGGAATACTGCTTATTTCAAATATGTCCAGTTTTCCACGTGATGAAATATTCTTCATCAACATCATTTTAATGGTTGCATGGTACTTTGTAACCAGAAAATGCCACAGCTGACATTTTAGGGTGGTTCTAAACACCTCCCCCTTAGAAATAATAATATTAGAACATACACCTTCTCACTTGCACTTTTGTTGAAATTTCTAATAATTTTAAGAAAAAAATCCCTAGACGCAATATTACTAGGTCAGAGAGCATAGAAGTTTTTGATGTATACTGCCAAACTTATCTTCAGAAAAGGTCATATAGATAAATATTTTCCCCTGAAGTTCAAAGGAGTGTCCATCTTGCCACATTCTTGCCAACACTGAGTATTATCATTTTTAAACTTCAACCAATTTGATAGGCAAAAAATTGCTACTTCTTCAATGTTGCATTTCTCTTTTAGTGAGGTTGAGCAGTTTTTCATAAATTCATTAACTTCTAAACTTTCTAAGCAGCAGTGGATCCAATCAATATTAAGTTGCATTTAAAATTAAAGAGAAAAAAAATCCTTGGGTTTTAAAAAATCAACGTATTTATAAACAACATTTTGATAACGGAAAATTAAAGCTATCATGGTGTACTATACGGAATACCAAGGGCTTATATAGCAAGTGTGAGTCATTCAGGAGGCTAAACAAAGAACTTAAGAGAAATTAAAAACAAAAAACGAAAACTAACATCTGAGGCTGGCAATAATCATGATTTCTGAAAAAGGGCATTATATCTTTACCACTAAGTCTGAAATAAATATTTGTTGACCAAAACCAGATACAAATAGCACCCTGTTTTTCTTGATTTAGTTGCTTCTTAGCTAAACATCAATGGCCAAGTCTTGTGTCTACTCAGGACACTAATGTTCCTTACAACTCACCAACAATCCACTTCAAATTACATGGCTTCTTTCATTCAACATGGGGGAAAGGGGTCGTTGAGGGGAGATACAGAATAGGACACACCCTTACAAATGCATATCCTTGTGCAGATTAGCTTCCTTCAACACACCTTTAAATTTCCCAGATTGCTGTATCAAGCTATGCTGTTTGACAGATGGTTGCTTCAATCCACCCACCAATTTCTTATTGATTCAGACGTTCAGTGGTCTATTAGCATAGACTTTCCATGTGGATTCCAAAGGTGATTCTTAAACTGTACAGCATATTAATAAGGCCCTTCCCAAGAGTAAAATTTAGTCTAATATACAGAATAAGGATAAGGACAACCCAAAGGAGAGGTTGCCCACTGAACACTGCCAGCACTAGCAGTGACAAGAACTGATCTCAGCTTGTCTGTCCTCAGGGGAACTACAGGAGCATTTGAACCACCACCATTATTCAACCACGTTGAATAACTGTGATCTTTATTCTGCTCAGAACACGAACAATTCCCGTCTGTGGGAAAGGTAAATAATGAACGGGGCTAATGAGGACACCATTGTGTTCTACTCAAAAATTCATGTAAATTGTGTTTAGTGTAGTCTTTCTAACATAGGCAGTCATGGCATTTAGAATTGCATTCAGTTACTGAGAATTATTCTCAATGGAACAATTTCACTGGAATTCCTGGGATTTCTGCTTGCAGCAATGATAGACTAGCAAGGACCAAATTTAACCTTTTACAGTAAATAGAAACCAGACAGAATATGTAAAACAAGCACTTCCAGATGACAATAGGGAGTGCAGAACTGTGGTCCCTGAGAGAAGGGAAACAAACAAGTTGAGCTACACAATCACCCCAACTTTCTGCCTGGAGATAATTTCCACGCCACTAAACACAGGGAAGGGGAAGCCAAATTGAACCTGGTAAACTTGCTAAGTCAAAAAAATGAAGATCAGAGTTCAGGGAGGCTGAGGTGGCTGGAAGTTACAGGGCAGAGTGCTAGAAAAGAGGAAGCTACACAGAAAGAGAGCTCTAGAAGTGTACTAAGTTCTAAGAGGTCATGCATGTGTGAGTGAAATTCCACAAGGCAGGGCAAAAAATGACCACAAAACTATAAAGTGAGCAATTCCCAAAGCTTACACAAAGCAGGAAGATGTTTGAGCACCAGAGCAGAACGTTCCTGGTGACTCACGTGAGGCATTCAGTGGAGGCACCCCGAAGGGCAGACCAGAGGAGTAGGGCTGAACTATTTCTGGAGTGAAGGCTACATTAAGCCTACCCTATCAAAGTTTAAAAAGAGGCCTCAAGGAGTTAATCAGATCTGCAAGTAACTTAAAACTGCTTTGCCAAACAAAGCATAACATTCCTTAAAGAAATATAACAAAATACAGATAATTGGCAATGTAACATTCACAATATACAACATCTCATCAAAATTGTATAAACATGACAAGAAGCAGGAAAATGTGGCCCTTAATCAGGAGGGGAAAAAAATCATAAAATAGTAACAAACTAAGAAATGCTGAAATGAGCAGCTAAGAACAGTAAAACCACTATAACTATGCTTAAGTATTTTTTTTTTTAAAAGATTGGCACCTGAGCTAACAACTGTTGGCAATCTTTTTTTTTTTTTTTTTTGCTTTTTCTCCCCAAATTTCCCCAGTACATAGTTGTATATTTTTAGTTGTGAGTCCTCCTAGTTGTGGCATGTGGGATGCCGCCTCAGCATGACAAACAGTGCCATGTCTACGCCCAGGATCCAAACCAGTGAAACCCCAGACCACTGAAGCAGAGTGAGTGAACTTAACCACTCAGTCACAGGGCCGGCCCCTATGCTCAAGGAACAAATAGGGGCTGGCCCAGTGGAGCAGCAGTTAAGTTCGTACGTTCTGCTGCTCAGCTGCCCGGGGTTTGCCGGTTCGCATCCTGGGTGCAGACATGGTACCGCTTAGCAAAAGCCATGCTGTGGTAGGCGTCCCACATATAAAGTAGAGGAAGATGGGTACGGATGTTAGCTCAGGGCCAGTCTTCCTCAGCAAAAAGAGGAGGATTGGCAGTAGTTAGCTCAGGGCTAATATTCCTCAAAAGAAAATAAATAAATAAAGGAACAAATAGACATAATGAGAGAAAAAAAACTTAAAGGACCAAATGAACTTCTATAAATTAAGAAAACACAGTATCTGAAAAGAAAATGTCATTGAATGGAATTAAAAGCAGATTAGACACTGCAGAAGAAAAAACATCAGAGAATTTAAATACATAGTAATAAAATTTAACCAATATTAACCACAGAGACCAAAGGAAAAAAGGTTAAAAAAAACAAACACGAAGAATAGTCTCAGAGACCTGTGGGATAATATCAAGCAGTCAAACACACGTGAAATTGCACTCCCAGCAGGAGTCAGAGGGAAAAAAGATACATTACATATAGAGGAACAAAATGACAGTAGGCTTCATCAGAAGCCATGTGAGCCAGAGACAACGGAATGACATCTTGAAAAGGTAAAAGGAAACTATTAGCCTAGAATTCTATACCCAACCAAAATATCTTTTAAGAATAAAGGCTAAATAAAAACTTATTCAGACAAACAAACAAAAAAAGAATTTGTCACCAGCAGACCTGCACTCCAAGAAATGTTAAAGAAAGATATTCAGGCAAAAGGAAAACAACACCAAATGGAAACTTGGATTTACATAACAAAATGAAGAGTATTGGACATAACATATATGTGGATAAATATAAGACTTTCTCCAGGCATTTCTGTAAAAGATACCTGACGGTTTGAAGCAAAAACAAAACAGTCAACATTCAGTTTCCATTTTTTTTTAAAGATTTTTTATTTTTTTCCTTTTTCTCCCCAAAGCCCCCTGACACATAGTTGTGTATTCTTCGTTGTGGGTCCTTCTAGTTGTGGCACGTGGGACGCTGCCTCAGGATGGTCTGATGAGCAGTGCCATGTCCACACCCAGGATTCAAACCAACGAAACACTGGGCCGCCTGCAGTGGAGCGCGCGAACTTAACCACTCGGCCACGGGGCCAGTCCCTAGTTTCCATTTTTTTAATATTCTCATGTCATAGGCAGACAACTTGGAGGCCAGAGAAAGGATACAGTGGCAGTTAGGACATATGTTGCCATATGGAATGGCACACAAAAAGCTGAGAAAGCATGAAGAAACGGAAGCAGTTCAGAGTCTGTCCTCAGATAGCTTATATTTTTAAAAGTTAATTATAACTTGTCCAAATTTACTGAATATGTCACATAATGGTGTACTACTGCACTGAGAAGGTGTGTGTTTCATCACCAATATCTGTATGGAAACGCCTCCCAAGGAAGGGAAGGAGGCAAAAGAATACTGAGCAGCCAGAGATAGGTTTTTTTAAAACTGAGCTCTAAGAGTCCCACTCAGTCTTTTCGCTTACCCTTTGGAAACAAATCTAGCAGGCTTACTGATCTTTTTTTCTAACCAGATTAGAAGCAACTAAATATAAAAATAGTAAGAAGGCGGGTGCAGGAGTTAAGCATAGTGACATTAATGAGAAGTGACAATTGAAAGCCTGACAGCTAAAGAGAAACCGAAAAAGCAAACACATGCATAGATATACCCCCAAACCCAAACTGCTGAGAATGTCAGTGCCAGTACATAGGTCAAATGACATTTATACAACTTAATAGCACAACAGCAGGTGCTTATAACTACAACCCTGCACCATCAAGATTAAATTATT